GAGAATTATATTTTCAAAATAAGATATGATATGTGTTTCGCATAAAATCTGAAACATTATCTTAACGCAAATTCAAAAAGCATAGTATAGAGACCATGATTCTCGAAATTTCATAGTAATCGCTACCTTGGTATTGATTTCTGTGACTTGCAAATCCTTGTGCTCAAAACTCTTGGGCTGTAGAAACCTATTTACAGATCGATCATACAGATTGCTATGACCGATATGCATAACAATGTTGCTGTTTTTATTAATATATGATATCCATTTACTAGGGCATTTTAACTAACTGTATAGGTCTCGATGTAAAACATACCTGTCACTGTTGCTGCACTTATTATTTTAGAGTCTATTTACAAATATCAAACAAAATGGTATGATTTCCAATAGTGCTTCACTAAAATATGGTAGAAAGAAGAGCTTGGTATTTCCTTGAGCTACGCTGTTCTGCGAAGTTTTCTAGGATTATAATACTTTACTAACCCTTAACCATTGCCTCTTATCTCTAAAACTGTTTCTTACCCATTTCCTCACCTCAATGTCAGTCTGAAGACTATGCAGGTGAGCCTAGGGTAGAAAATAGGGAACCTTGACAAAAGCTGTGTGAAATAAGCAAAACGCGATGGCATAAACGGTGTTATGATCAACTGCTCCCAGCAGGATTCTGTCATGTTAGGTAGATTTGTTCGAAAAAAATGACTGTTACAGTAATCTGTTGTTTCCTAGCTAAACGTTTGCAACCTTCGAATTACTATGGAATAGAATTACGATTGTGGTTTTTAGTAGTTCAATAACCGTACTGTTTAGGCTCATCAGTAAAAATCCGACCAAACTCCTAAACTAACTTTTGAAGACAGGACTGATGGTGGCATCCATTTAGTCTTTCGATAGTCTTGAGAAGAGGTACCAGGTTCTGACTGCAGCCTTCAGCATACTTGGCTGATGCTCTGTGACAAAGCTTCGAACTTAATCACATCATATTGTATCATTCTTGTCGAACTCGCAGTAGGATTAGAATCAAGGTGTTATCACTCTCTTTGACTTTTGTTTTAATGTAAGATAAAAGTCTCCAAGGACAATCCTAGGAGCCTTTTATCTTCTCACTTTCATATATTATTCGAATGCTATGATCAGTAACTTTCAATGATTCTCATGTTCACGAAATTTAAGTCTGGACCGTTACGAACTACTACAGGTTCTAAAGCCTATTTCTACGCTTAATGACTTTTTAAGTGGTCCGTGAATTCACGGAGGACAATGAAATGATGTACGTGAAGTCGTTAAAGCCATTAAATCAGACTTAACTGCTTCAGATCGTCAGTTTAACTGGAACTATTCATAACCAGTACACAAGTAGACACTAAGTGACCAGTCTGCAGTTGTGGCCCGCACCTTAATAGTCAACGTATTCATACTTTACACATTTTAACAAGGTTGAAACTGAATAAAGACCATATCAGAAACTGTAAAATAGGAAAATAGCACCATATGGTCGTGACTCTCCATGGATAGAAGCGAAATATGTATCTCTATAAAAATTCTGTATCAAGATGATCCCCAAATACGCTCAGTATAGATCTGCTGTCAAACCTTTCACTGAGTCCTGGGGAGACCTCAATTTCATCTGTATTAGGTCAGTATTATTGTTATATTATTATTTGTCCCTTGGGTTCCTAATGAAACATAGGGCTTCCGTAGCACGTCTCCATTCCACTCTGTTCTCTGGAATTTTTTGAACCTGGTTCCGCGATAGCTCACAAGCTCGCATTTCTTCCTCACAAGATCTCCTCCATGTCACCCACAGCTAGGACTCCCAACTCGTCGCTCCCCATCAGGGTTCCACTCGAGGGCCTGGCCTGACGCGTGATGTCACCAATCGGCCTTCTCAGTGAATGCCCATCTAATCCATCTCCACTTCCTTCCACTGCATATTCGTTGAGTGATAGGTTTTTAGTTGGTTCGTCCCCAGAGTTACTTGTTGCTAATTCTTTCTGGCAATCCATCTGAGCTTCAGTAGAGAACGTAGGCAGTTGTTGATGAATTTCTGTAGTTGTTTGTTGGAAATGCTTTTCGTAACGCACCAAGTCTCTCAAACATACAGGAGCACTGACTTGACTGAATTGGCTTTAAAAATCCTAATCTTGTTCTTTGTGCTGAGTGCAGTAGATCTCCACACTGGTTTCAGGTCGATGAAAGCTTGTCTCGCTTTTCCAATCCTGGCTTTGACATCCTCGTCTGTGCCGCCTGTAAATGAAACAGTGCTGCCTAGATAGGTGAAAGAGACTACCTCCTTTAAGTTTCTCCAGTTGATGATGATTGGAGCTTGTTGTTGCTGTTGTTGTTGGTTGAGTATCTTCATCACCTCTGACTTCTTTATATTCACTTCAAGTTCCGTCTTCGCTTCCTCTCCTTTCAACTTGTTAGTTTTCGCCTGTAGATCTTCAAGTTTGTGTGACATAAGATACGATTCATCATTGGCGAAATCCAAATCCTCTACGTTCTTTTCATCGGTCCAGCGTATCCCCCTCCTCTCGCTCCTCACTGTTTGTTGCATGATCCAGTCGACCACAATCATGAATATCATGGGTGATAGTAGACAGCCTTGTTTTTCTCCTGTCTTCACTTCACTTCAAAAGCATCACTGAGCTTCCCACTGTGAATTACTTGGTTGGCATGTGGCGTCTTCAAACAGATGTTGAATGAGGTTGATAAAGTTTTGTGGCACTAAAACCGTAGTGTTGAAGCAGTTTCCAAATTACCTCTTGGTCGACGCTGTCAAAGGCCTTCTCAAAGTCGATAAAGTTGAGGTAGAGAGTTGACTGTCGTTCTGTACTCTGTTCTATGATAATGCATAGTGTAGTGTTGCAGTTTGATCCGCACATGATTTTTACTTCCTGAAGCCTGCCTGTTCCGGTCGTAGTTTTGAATCCAGTGCATCCCTCAGCCTCTCCTGGATGATGCGACTTAATATTTTGCTTGGGGTGGACAGGAGAGTGATTCCGCGCCAGTTCTTGCAAGCACTCAGGTCTCCTTTCTTCGGCAGTTTGACAAGGTAACCCTTCTTCCAATCAATGTGCAGGTACCTTCTCTTCCTTCCACACCTTCTGCAATAGTGGTGTGAGCATGTCCACTGTTGTCTCTGTGTCTGTCCTCAGTGCTTCTGGCGGTATCCCATCTGGTCCTGCTGCTTTCCCACATTTCAGTAGCTTTATGGCGTTCAGGACTTCCATTTTTGTTGGAGGATTTATGTTCACTTGTAATTCAGCAGCTGCAGGTGGTATTTCTGAACGAAGTGTAAGTGGTGATCGATTCAAGAGCTTTTTGAAGTGGTCGGCCCATTGTTTCCTTTGTTTATCTTCTTTCGTAATTAAATTTCCTTCTTCATCTTTTATTGGTTTCATCTGTGTTGATCTCTTCCCTGATAGCAACCTGGTTATTTGATACAATGTTGTCAGGTCTCTCTTACCTGCAGCCTGTTCTGCTTCACTTGCCAGTGTTTCGTAGAAGTGTCTTTTGTCTTTGCGTGCACTCTTCTTCACTTCTTTGTTCAGTGTTTTATACATTGTGCTCAGATCCTCTTGTCGTTGAGCATCCTTGCACTGGTTTATCTTCTGTTTCACCATCCTCCTCTACTCTATCAGCTTCCATGTATCCGTCGAGATCCATTCCTTGTCTTCTTCTTTCTTCTTCCTTCCTAATACTGTTGTGCAGGTTTCTTTCCACATAACTTTCAAAGACTTCCAGTGTTCTTCCATACAGATTTCTTCAGGGATGTTCCTAGATGTCTCCCATTTTGTCTTGATGGCTGCCGTGAAGATTTTCTTTGCAGTTTCGTCCTGCAGTTTCCGAGTGTTGTACTTGAATTGAGGTCTATCACCAGCTTCCTTGAAGGCTTTTAACTTGATTTGGAAGGTTCTTTGCACTAGAACTTACATCTGCTCCTCTTCTTGACCTTGTGTCAAGTAGACTGCGTCTCCTTTTTCTTGAGATTGAGATAAAGTCTATCTGATTTTTAGTGTGTTTGGTATCTGATGAAATCCATGTCGCTTTGTGGATATCCTTGTGCTTAAACATAGTGCATCCAATCACCAAATCGATGAATGCGCAGAATTCTGCAAACAATTCTCCATTCTCGTTCATCACCTCAACGAGCTCTTCTCAACCCATGGTTAGTTCTCTTCCTGTGTTGTCTGCTCCCAGTTTGGCATTCATGTCGCCCATTAGAATTTTGATGTCACCAACCATAGTCTTGTCCAGTACTGATTGCAGTTGTCTGTAAAATTTCTCTCTGCATTATTTGTAGGTGCATAGCGTAGCATCGAATGATTGTGACTCTCCTTCCTTTTGAGTTGAACCTTGCTGTCATGATCCTGATGTTTGGGAGTTGGTTCCCACTGCATGGGACATCATGATAGCCACTCCAAAACTCAGTGTGCTCGTGGTTGTCATCTGGGTGACAATATCGGAGTAGATTATTGACTCTCCAGTTGAGGGTTTGGAGAGTCCACTTCCATTCCATCTGCTTTCACAGATTCCTAGCACTTCAATGCTATACCTTCACCTTTTCTACCTACCTCAAATTTTTAATTGATACATTAAATTAAAAATAGATTTAAAATAGTAAGTGTTGGAGCAATAGGTATTTGAAATAGGTCGGTATATATATAGAACTGGTGAGAGCAGGAAAATGTAGACTCCTAGATTTCGACTCATTGGTTAACTGATAATGTGTTGGCCATGGGATCTGAAAGTCTTAGTTTTAATCCCTGGCAGGGTCATGGCGGTGCACTGCTGAGGAGTTCTATTCTGGGATGAAACAGTTGTCCAGTGCTACTCATTTCTCAATGTTTATCCAAAAGATGTCAATTTGGGATGAATACCAACTTAAAATAGTGTTTGATATTCAAGTTGAAAATGAATGGCGTAAAACAATACTCCTTACTCATTGTCTGCTTTCATAATAAATCTAAAGTATTGATATCTTTCTTGGAATTTTTACCCAATGTCACCTATAAAGTATGCCCAGAGGGTAGTGTCCAAGATGATACAATTATATCAATTATAATGTCTCATATGTTTCACCTACCATTGTAGCATTTTATTTCACTGTATTGTGTTGATGTATGTAACAACTCATTGAACACTTTTTGTTTAGTTGTACTGAGAAAGACTTTTTGCTCGCTCGTTGACTAATACAACAACCTGATATATACTTCGCGTTAACTCCTGATATTTACGCTGTCTGACGCAGGTGGATCAGCAGTGTCGGGAATTATAAATAGGCGATAGTGTATCTGGACACGTATATAAAATTTGGAATCAGATTTCAGAGCTCGAGAAACTGGTGAGCTCGACGTGATTAAACTCTCGCAATTGAATACTGCAACCGGCCATTAATGGCTGTATACAATACGGATATACATATATACTGAGAATTTCTTTGGCTGCTTTATGGTAGGCATTGACATACTTGTCTATTGTATTTTTCCTGCTCTTGTTCTTAAATATTTTCTTTTTGCTGTACCAGTACTGATGTCCTTAAACTCTCATAATCAAGACTTTTCGAATTCAGGGGCCGTGGGTGCCATTAATCTTCCTATGCCTTGTTTTAAGTTTAATGACCCGCAATTCTGGTTTGTCCGTCTAGAACATTTCTTCATCGCCAGTCATATAACTTCACAAAACACAAAGTTCGGATACACAAGCTCTGTTTTGCCGGAAGAAGTGGCTGAACAAGTAAGGGAGACACTACTAAAGCCCCATCCAGACACACCTTATGATGTTTTGAAGCAGGAGGTGCTGAAAGCTACTTCGTTTTCTGATCAGAAGGCTGTCGATCAACTACTAAGTAGCATATGCCTCGGTGACAGAACGCCTTCACAACTTAAGCGACATATGCAAAGTCTGCAGAAAGATAGGAACGTAGACAACCGTTTATTCTACCAGCTCTGGCTGCGGAGGCTTCCTTCATGCATTCAGCAGATATTAGCTATCGGAGATGCGGACATTGACAGGTTGGCTGGCATCGTTGACCGTATGTACGAAAGGATGCCTAAACAGGTTGAAAGTATTGCTGAGCCAACGCAAAACGACCGAGTGGCCACTTTAGAGAGGAAGATAGACATGCTTACAGGACAACTGACGTCTTTGCAGTTAAACCGACGGTCACTGAAGTTCTGCAGAAGCAGATCCCGTAGTCGTGATAGGACCACGAGTAGAATTGCGTCCAAAAGTAGAACGTGCTGGTATCACAAAAAGTCTTTCTCAGTACAACTAAACAAAAAGTGTTCAATGAGTTGTTACATACATCAACACAATACAGTGAAATAAAATGCTACACCATATGTAGACGCCGGTTTTGATGCGATTAGTTATTTCGTCTGTCATTCTGACTTTCATGGTTTGGATAACATATGTAAACCGATAGTCAGTATTTCTTGTACTCTGTATATTAGTTTTAAATCAGTTATTGATCAAAAGAAACTCAAATTCTTCAGTACAGATGTCTTTTAGACTTCATATTGGGCTAATAGCCAATGTTCAATTATTCAGTGATAGTTATTCACTTTTATTTATCACTTAAACTTATACATGTATATCAGAGAAGAATGAACAGTCGGACAAAGTCCTTGCTAATTGAAGTGAAATTCAGATCTGGTCAGATACTGGGTCTCCTTACTCATTTGATAGAGTATCGGCCACAAAAATGCAAACGTCACTGGTTCAGATTTTGCCGTGGTTCAGCTTTTCATTTCACTTAGTATCACTTTCAGATATTTTGAAGGGGTAAAACTAAATCGCATGGGCAGAGGTTGAAATCTTTGACAGAGGAACTTATCTGTGTTATATTGTTCTGGAGCTGACAATATATTTGACATTGTAAGCGGGCCCTCCAAAAACGCGTTGCTGAGCATTACTCAGTTTGGCTTACTAAAGGCGAGCAAATAAAGACAAGTTCATCCATATGTGTACATCTAGTGGAGTCCAGTCATTTAGTTCTTCGTGATTCATCCTTTAAGGTAGTTTATAATGTTAAATTGGACTACTCCAAACGTCTACATCTCCACCACTGAATAGCTAAAGTATTAGCTATACATGAACAAAAACCGAAACATTTTGTGAAACTACATTCTCTACTTTGGCCTTAACAATTCATTTAACTTCACTTTGTATACTACTCTTTTATCATCATCTTAATCAGCATTTTTCACTTCACTGACAGTATTCGACTCCTATTTCACTACTTAAAATATCAATTCGTTCCTTATTCATTGATCCATTTTGCATACATCATGTAAAATTATTATTGTTTTACACTTTTTTTGACAAAACTTGTCCTTTATCTCAATACTATTTATCATTTCGTTCTTTAATCAATGAACCATTTTCTAAGTATTCCACATGAACAAATCCCACCACTAACACAGATTGTATGTTTTGTATATTAATTAAGTAACCTTACAGTGCAATTCTGTCTTACCTTATCGAATATAATTATGACTGTACAGTTTGATAATGTAGTTGTTTCTTCGGTGATACATGTTTTCAAGTTGTTATTCATCGAAGACTGACATCAGTTGGAGGAACAAAGGAAACCTGGGAGCACTGGACAGCTGTTTCGTCCTAGTATGGGACTCCTCAGCAGTGCGCACCTACGACCCCACCAGCAGGGATCGAACCCGCGACCTTCAGGTTCCGCGACCAGCGCGTTACCATTGAGCCACACGTTTTGTTGTTATTCATGAATAAATGGGTATATTTCGTCAATCTGAAGTTTCTTCCTAATATTGCAAAATTTAGGGGAAATCCCGTGACAATTATGAAACTATGTATTTTTTAAAATTAAAATATTAAGGCTCCTTCTATAGTAGTTAACTTTATTCATTTCTATACACTTTTTAATTAACTTATGGTGGTGAAAAAAGAATCATTAAAATTCAGGTTACAGGCATAATCTATTAAAGATGCCTTCATTATCTGAAAATTTAAAGTCCTCTGAAGTGGGTAATTCAATCTCAACTTCAAATCAATCACATCATAATCTATCGTCCAATAATAATATTTTGCACAATGATAATACTTATTTGAACTCAAATGGTTCACCAAGTATCACCATACATCACATGGATAATGGAAATTTGAGTACCACTAATGAAGAGCTTGTGAATAACAATAATAAAGTGGATGAAAAAATCATTATACCATCAAACTGGACTACAAGTATAGAACCATCACTTGTGTATATTGATGAATCAGAAGATTTATATAATCAAGTGAGTAATATATTTCCTGAAAATGACATTGTACTAGGAAATATAAACTTTTTGTTTAAAAATTTATGAATATATTAGCATAAACTTCCAGTAAAATGACGACTGGATGGATTCGAAAAGTCTTTTCATCATTCAAGAAAAATTTGTTCAGAGATCGTTGGAGTATCACATATTCACTATAGAATTTGAATGCTCTGAGCTTGATCCCTTGTGCGATTGTGGTTGTACACTTTTCAAGAGTCTAAACCACTACGAACTAGTTGTCAAGGATTTGTATTTTTTCAAAGGTATCAATCCATATTGGAAACTACCTTGAAATGAAGAATAACAGGAAGGTAGTTAAATCGCTTTACTTTCTATAGTTACAGATGATTCGTATTCACTTACATCAAAGTAAATTAGGAAATTTAACAATAAATTATTTGAATGAATAAAACTTATGCTGAAGGCTTTTCTGAGATAATCATCTTTTGAAATACTTAATTACTCAGTTTAATCTTATAATTTCTGTAGAAGTATCAGTGGTTGCTGGTCAACGAACAACAAATAAGTTGGATAACTTTTTATTATCATTTTATCTACATTTGTTTAAATTAACCTCTAAAAATAATCTATTCAATGTTCAACTTTAGTCAAAGCAGAGAATATGTATACTTGAATGTCATTTATGTGAGTCAGCAGAAACTAAAAATGATATTCATCAACACAATAATGGATTAAGAAATTCTTACAGAAAATCACGACATCTTCAGCGTGATCATTTTCATGAAGATGATCATATCAATAAAAATTGTTCAGTGCATAAACAAATCAATGGATTCATGGATCATGAAAGTAACAGTATTAAATGGATTGAAAGGTGTAAACAATTTGAAAATGAAATGAAAGATTTAAAGAGAGCGAAAGATAAAGCACAATGTCAAAACGTGAAATATGAAGAACAGGTAAATATATACAAGTCATAATCATAACTTTATTAATTTCCTTCTTATTCTTATTCTATTTCCTAATTGGATAAACTAGAATTCAGATCATAATTCGAATGTGAACTGTTTCATTCCTTCACAGTGTGTGAAAGGTGTATTTCAAGGTCATGTCAATAAGTTTCATTCAATGATTTGGAAAGGATAAGACAATTTTGTTCTATATTGTTTTAATATTTACTGAGATTTTGTTTGTTATTATATATGCGGAATCAATAATTATTACCTATAGATCATATGTTTTCAGTAACTTTCAAAATAACGCAAGTACACACTATAATAATATCGAAATTCTAAGGTGTTCATTACCAGAATTCAAATAAGGTGTCACTATTTCTAGAGATGAAGTACCACAGTTAACTGTCTATATGATAGGTGGAAAAAAACTGAAGAAAGGATCAAGGATCGTAAACAAAGTGATAATAAGAGAATAATTGCTAATAATGAAAGCAACAAAATAAGGGGAAGAGGGTTGAAATCAGGTTATATTTTTTTACTTGAACAGATTAGGATTGAGTTGATGAATCGCCAATGCTGCTACTGCGTACAGATTATAAAATTGGCTGCTTTCGTATGGAATTCTGAAGAACCGAACTTCTGGACATTTAAAGGGATACATTTTTCTACTGATTATTATACTTAGTAGATATCTTGTATGTGAATGCATGAAGAACAAGTTTCCGCTGTAGATCATCTCAGAGTGTATTTGCAACAGTACTTGCTCCTGTGAAGATAATTACACTTACCAGGTAAAGTATGCTGTTTTCGGACCCATTTTACATCATTATCCTGATTAATTGTGAAGAAGAAAGTCCAACTAGGTAATTAGTTCATTACTTGAACAACTGGTTAGTTACCGTAGTAAAGTCACCCTTTACAATTTTCTGTAAAGTCAAACCAAAGATTTTGGAGGGAGTGCATCACAAACATTGACTACTCACCAATTCATACCTGACCACCTTGTGCAGAAGAAACATGTACAGTCTTGGTTGTGTTCTCTGAGCTGGATTGTTTAATCGTGAAGCTTTCATCGTCCTTCTGGACGACATCATCAGCACTAACTTCATAACCATGGTACTTCACATCTAGTAACAGCTGATACCTTGTTAAATATTGGGCTTTTCTCAGTCCTTTCAACATTAACACATAGATTGTTATATAATCATCTGTATATAAATGCTCTGCTATTTAATCTATGTCCGTACTCAGTGACACATACTTACTTGTTTTCAGCGTCATAATTGAGATCGCAAAGCTTTAGTAAACCATATCTTCGAAAAGTAAAATTCTCCCTGGTGCTGACTTGTCTTTTTTCTTCCTTATAAGCATGAAATGTTTTTAAGTGTAACTCAACCCAATGACTTCGTCATAACCATTATCAGTTATAAACTTCGCAAATTCAGTCTATTTAATTGTAGCTAAGTTTGGTGTGATTCATCTGTCAGTAAACTTCATAAGTTTCGATATTTTGTATAGCACTTAATTGAGTAGGTGTCACAATTCCAAGAATTTGTGAAAATTTCTAGTCTCCGTTTTTCAATTTCTTCATTTTATTCATCAAATTTACGTCCACATCTATCCAAAAGTATTATGAGGTGGAATTGAGCTTCATCATACATATAATGAGCATTCAATGTTCCTAAGGTTGAGAGTTCATAGGAGAAAAATGCTTATGTAATGATAGTAACGGTAATTGTTTAGCAGTTTTAAGGAAATAGAAAGTTACTTTATTGCTTGTAATTAGCTGTCACTGACTGGATCGGCCACTATTATCATATGGGATTTTGCGTGGATGCGTTCCAAATACTGTGAAACGTTCGTCCTGAATTCCACTGCTAGCCACTATCAATCATCGCTACCAAATTAGAAGTTATGCTGGGAGGTGCTAAAGAGAAGAATTTATTCATACGATACGGATCAAATCATATTAGTCTATAAGAAAAACCTTTTGTTTCACAAAATAAACAAGAATTCAGGCGTTGAATTATTTTATAAATATGCCTATGAATTTAAAAATGTATTTTTTTTCAGACTTTAGGCCATATCTCAAAATTTTAACTAATTAATTGCCAACTTTTGTTATGAACTGTTAAGATTCGATACATTTATTTCTTTTTGGATAAGATATATGTTAAATTGGTGGTTCATATGTTCAGTTCATTGCCTTTTTGTTTGCAGTTTAACCCTTTTGAGTATCATTCAACCTGTTTTGTTCAGAATTTAAGGCAACGTAACAGAAAACTACAATTTAATAGAACCTTTCTAACATGTAACATTTTATCCTTTTAAACAGTTTCTATTGACATACCATCCATTCAGTGATGGCATAAACTTCTAGTTGTCTGTTTTCTTTTCCTTAGAGCCTAAGAATGTTCAGTGCGTGCATAGTTTGACCAGTAGACTGAGTTATGCATAGCAGAGTGGTCTTGGTTGATTATCAACCATTTGTAAACGACTATACCAGTATATCCTGCCGATTGAAAGAAAGGCTAACTTGTCAAACTACAGAAGAAGGAAGATCTAAGTCTCTGCAAAAACTCGTGTGGAATCATGCTCCTGTCCCCCTCCACACCAAACAAAATATTATGCCGCATCATCCTCCAGAGACTAAACAATGCTATAGATTCAAAATTACAACCGGGACAGACTGGCTGGCTTCAGGAAGAACAAATCAGGTGTGGATCAAATTGCAACGCACCACTACGCATCATCACAGAACAGAACAGAACATAGAATGACAGTCAAATCAACTCAACCTCAACTTCGTCGACTTTGAAAACCCTTCGACAGCGTCGACCGAGAAGTAATTTGGTAGGCAGCTGCTTCAACACCACGGTTTTGCTGCCACAAATCTTTATCAAACTCATTCAACAGCAGCTATATGTTATGCTATATGATGCTAAGTGCCAAGTGATTCACAACGGAAAGCTGAGTGACGCTTTTGAAGTGAAGACAGGAGTAATACAAGGCTGCAACCTACTATCGCCGATGATCTTCCTGATTGTGGTCGACTCAACTCGACTCGACTGGATCATGCAGCAGACAACTGTGAGCAACGAGAAGAGAGTCATATGCAGTTTGACCAATGAAAAGACTCCAGAAGAAGATTTGGATTTCACCACCGACGATGATTTATGACTAATATCTTGTCGCACAAGCTCTGAGATCTACAGGCAAAAAGCAACAAGTTGACAGAAGAGGAGAGGAGAGGAGAGGAGAGGCATCGAAGATGGGACTTCAGGTGGATGTAGGAGAGACGGAGGTGATGAGGATACCCAACCAACGAAAGAACTACAAGCGCCAATCACCATCAACGGAAGAAAGTGGAAGGAAGTTGTCTCTTTCACCTAACTAGGCGAGGCAGTATCGTTTCAACCACAGGCATCTGAGGTGGATCAGATGAGGACATCAAAGATAGGATCGGAAAGACAGGAAGACAGGCCTGCCTTCACTAACCTGAAATCAGTGTGGAGATCTACTGCACTGTACTGCACTCAGCCTAAAGCGTGAACTAGATCCGGATTTTGAGTACTGATGTCAGTCAGTCAGGTCAGTGTTTCTATGTGATGGTTGAAAGACTTGGCGTGTTACGAAAAGCATTTCAGAAATACATCATCAACAGCTGCAGCCTACACTCACTGGATACTGAAGATCAGATAGATGGTGGGAAAGAATAAGCAGCAAGGATCTCAGGGAACGAATTAATCAACAACCCATCACCCAACAAATATGCAGAATAAAGTGGAGATGGATGGGACTGGACATGCACTGAGAAGTCCAATTGGGGACATCACGCTCCAGGCCAGTACCTCGAGTGAAACCGAGACTGGAAACGACGAGTCGGGTGTCCGAGGCGAGGATGGCATGGAGGAGATCGTGTGAGGAAGAAATGGAAGCTTATGGGCATTGGTAAAGGCAGGTTAAGAAGAGTTCAGAGAAGAGAGTGAAATGGCGACATGCTAGTGAAGCCCTATGTTCCACTAGAAACCCAAGGGACAAATAATAATGATAATAACAATACCAATATGTGACAAGCATCAGTAAATTTGGTATTTCGTTCTTTTTCTGACATGATGTCAAGTGTTGACATCTGACTAGTTTTTGATGTTTACGTTTCCAGAACGGAAGTGATCATGTGTTATTATATAAATATTAAAAATTATTTGTCCCTTGGGTTCCTAGAGGAACACAGGGCTTCAGTAGCACGTCTTCATTCTGCTCGGTTCTCTGCAATCTTTTCAACCTGGCTCCACAACTGTTCAGAAGCTCTCATTTCTTCCTCACATGATCTCCTCCTTATCACCCTCGGACACCCAACTTGCCGTTTCCCATCAGGGTTCCACTCGAGGGTATGGCTCGTGGTGTCCCCGAATGGTCTTCTTGGTGTATGCGCAATCCATTTCCACTTCCTTCTGCATATTTGTTGAGTGATAGGTTCTTGGTTGGTTGGTTGCCAGCCACAGTGAATTTTTTGGTGCTTATTCTTTCTGGCCATCTGAGCTTCAGTAACGATCATGCATCATTACATATTGATAATCCACAGAGATAGATCTATAGTTTGAGGCCCTGACTGTCGGTGTCGAATCCAATTTCAGACAGGAAAATCACCTGAAATACAGAATCATGTAACAGATTAAACGCAAAGTAGTGAACTTCATTGCAATTTACTACTGACCACAATTGAAAAGTAATCTCTGACAATACTGAAACATATTTTCAGTTACTGAAGCATTCCATATATTAAATTGAACATATGGAAGTCGGTAGGCATAAAAACAAGCCAAAAAAAGTGCTCGTTGGTGACTAGCTTCGAGAAGTATTCCCGAAGTTCCAATGACAAGTCGTGACCGGTGGAGTCAAAGCCTGATGGCCGTGAGGACAAATACTCAACGATGACATTGGGTGGCGGTTTGCGCTATATCGTGAGCTAACAGAAGTTGGAAATATGGAGCATTGGATTT